AATAAAACGTATATTATTCAATTGTGACAATTTAGCCACTGTTGACATTATACAAAAGGGTAGATTTAAGATTCAAAGCCTGATGAAGTTAATGAGAAAGCTCACTTATTATTCAGCCATTAATAATTTTGTAGTGCATGGCAAACACATTCCTGGTATAAAAAAAACTGTGTAGCTGATTCTCTTTCTCGTTACCAGATGGTGAAGTTCAGAGCCTTGGCACCACATGCCAACGCGATACAAACTCCTTGTCTGCATACCTCAGAGCTGATAATGGTTTGAATTTAAAAATAGAAGAATTATGGTATGCGTCTATAAGCGAAAGCACAAGACTGACATATAAATCCGCTTTTAAATGTTTCAGAACTTTTTTGGTCATGAATGGTCAATCGTGCTCCGAAGTCAATCTTCCCTATGTACAAGAAGATCTTCTAGTTTATTTCGTTACTTATTGTCAAAAAACACTTAATCTTAAACACCAGACTATTAAACTGTATCTGGCCGGAGTACGCCATTATTATATAAGATTTTTAGGATATGATCCTATGGCGAATGCTATCAGATTACCAATTATTCTTCGAGGAATTAAAAAATCACAGAATAATGTTGTTCAAGGAAGATTGCCAATTACATCCTCAATTTTGAATAAGCTTTGTGATTTATTATCGAAATGAATGTTTTCACCAGTTCTAGACCTCATGTTTCAGTGTGCTTTGCTAGACCTAATGTTTCAGTGTGCTTTTAACATGGCATTCTTCGGTTTTCTTCGGTGTGGAGAATTTACCTGTCGGTCTTACAGTGATAATTCCAGTACAGTACTTTTGCAAGATACCACTGTGGATCCGACGAAACAGTTTTTCATTTTTCACCTGCGATCATCAAAGCGTGATCCCTTTCGACAAGGGGTGAATATTACTATTTATAAAAATGACACATTTAAACCAGTGGATACAATGCGTAAGAACCTCTCTCTAAGACAGAACACTGTCGCTTTACCAAAATTTCCACTTTTTGTCGAGGATGAATTACAATCATCGCCGTTAAATAGGAAAACATTTATTACTTCATTGAGACACACTTGGCTACAATACCGTTAAATTTTGTGGTCACTCCTTTCGTATAGGAGCAGCTACATCTGTAGCAGCATGTGGTGTCGAGGATCATATTATTCAAACATTGGGCAGGTGGTCGTCAGACTGTTACATACGTTACATACGAACTAATGCCGAAGTATTGAGAAGAGCTCAGCACGATATGTGTTTTCATACTTAAGTATCATTTGTGGTAGTTGAAAGCATGGAAATATTTAATAAGAGTATTTTTTATGAAAGTATGTAATTTTCTTGTAACATTATGTTGATATGTGAATGGTGATAAACATGAAGACAATTTTACTTCTATATTTTTTATAAATCAGGTTTGATTTGATTCAATGTTTATATTTAGATTTTTGATATATTGCAACTGATTATTCTTTACATGTGAGAACATCTACACACATACGTTTATAAAGATTAGAAATAAAAAAAAATCACGTAAAAATGATGTATCTATCTTGGGGGCTTTCACTCATTTAATGGTATTGCATTCGCTCAATATGGCCACGTTAATTTTGGAGAAATTATTTTGTACCCCCAAGTCAATTATACATCAGTATAGTAAAAATTCTTAATTATCAGTTCCAATTATTAATTTATTTTATAACATGTATAAGTTAGCATGGGATTATTTTGCCTTCTGGGCTCGACCGAAGTAGGAATAATCCTATATCGTGCTGCTGGTATCCACCGCAGCCTAGACCTTGCTGCTGGTATCCACCGTAGTCGAAAACCCCGCTGCTGGTATCCACCGCAGCCGAAAACCCGCTAAAGGTATCCACCGCAGCCGACACCCTGCTGCAGGCATCATCCGCACCCTATAGTTTATAGTTTATTTTTGAAGTAATGGTTCAAATTGTTGTTAAGATTAGGTAGATTTTTGTAAAAGTGAGTAGCCCCCGAGAAAGCCAAAACATAGATACATTTATTGAATATATTGTTATAATTTGATATGTTGTCATGTAGTTTTAGCAATTATATAATGGAAGTAGAGTTTGATTTTATTAGTTTAGATAATAAATATATATACCAATATGCTATTTTATGGTGTTTGTTGTTTTGACCTGGTTTTTTGTTAGCGTATCAGTCTGTCGTCTTAAATATAATGTGAGGTTTAGAAGGGACCTGAATTACTATAGACAATAGCTTTTACTAAATGTCATTTAGAGAACGCGTGTGCTTGTACATGTAAAATTGAACGTTTTGGGTTGTAGTTGTTTCTCTTTGGTTATCAGCTTTTTTCCAGTCATGTATACTATCAAGTTATCGGAATTTCAATGGGGATTAACTGCGCACCACTAATTGCGGACCTGTTTCTGTATTGCTATGAGTTACAATTTATGACTAAAATCAGCAAAGACCCATCAAAACAACATCTGATACAAAAATTTAATAACACTTTTAGATATTTGGATGATATATTGGCTCTCAATAATGACGACATCAGTATGTACACTAAAGAGATTTATCCTGCTGAACTGACTTTAAATAAAGCTCATATTAACAATGAACACTGCCCTTTCCTGGATCTTGATATCTATATCTTTAACGGGAAGCTTAATACCAAAATTTATGATAAAAGAGATGAATTTCATATCGTTAATTATCCATTTTTAGATGGTGACGTTCCCTTGTCACCATCTTATGGTGTTGATATCAACTTGTTCGATTCGCTCGATTTACTAAATTTTATCATCGGTACAAGGACATCATTCGTAAATATAAATCAACATGCAGACGTCTTATACGTTCAGGTATTTCACATCCAATCTTTTATAGTAATATTCTATACAAATTACAAAAATGTCGGCATTCACCTCAAAAGCTAACCAAACCTTTAAACATACTTATTCAGAAAGGATATAGTTACGATACTGTTGTCAGGTCATTAAAGATGGCATATTTTGGTATTAATATTGATTCACTCATAGGGTCTTTGCATCGGAAATAAATACATTTATTCTAAAACCAGGTGTTGACATGATACGGGTTATGTTCTTCTCATATATTTTATGATGGTATGATACTAAACCCCTTACGGGAGGGACTGTGCTTGATTTTCATATAATGAAGACATAATCTTTCAATCGGTTTAATTGAGGTCTGGAGCTGGCATGTCAGTAACTGCTAGTAGTCCTTTGTTAATTTATGTATCATTGTCATTTTGCTTAGTTTCTTTGGTTACCTTTTCTGACATCGGACTCTGACTTCTTTTAAACTGAGTTTTACTGTGCGTATTGCTGTGTGTTTGTTTTTTTCTACATTGGCTAGAGGTATAGGGGGAGGGTTGAGATCTCACAAAACATGTTTAACCCCGCAGCATTTTTGCGCCTGTCCCAATTCAGGAGCCTCTGGCCTTTGTTAGTCTTGTATAATTTTTAATTTTAGTTCAATTATATGTTTTGGAGTTTAGAATGACGTCCATTTTCACTGAACTAGTACACATTTTTGTTTTAGGGCCAGCTGAAGCCCGCCTCTGGGTTCGGGATTTTCTCGCTGTGTTGAAGATCAATTGGTGGCCTTCGGCTGTTTTCTGCTCTTTGGTCGGGTTGTCTCTTTGACACATTCCCTATTTCCATTCTCAATTTTAGCTAAAATATGTTTGTATAAATGGAAATTTAGATATTTAAATTATAGTTTATACGATAAGATAATTCCTGCCTATGTCAGATGAGATATTTTTAGAATATAAAAAATTGAGAGAACAGAGATATTTTAGAAAATTACTGAGAGAACTGAGATATTTTTAGAACATTTTTAGCCAACCAGATAGGAGATGTAAGGAAAGTATTAATCAGCTCGTTTTTAGCTGCCAGTTCATCCTAGCAAATTTTGATTTTGTTTCCCACTCGCCATCCCCACCTTCACCTGTTTAAAAATATATATATGTATATAATCAATTAAATATTGGGACTACTTACTATTTTGTGTTCCATGTTAATTTCGGGGAAATTTTTGTGTACCCCCAAGTCAATTATACATCAGTATAGTAAAAGTTCTTAATTATCAGTTCCAATTATTAATTTATTTTATAAGTTAGCATGGGATTATTTTGCCTTCTGGGCTCGACCGAAGGGGAATTAATCCTATATCGTGCTGCTGGAACCCACTGCGGCCTAGAACTTGCTGCTGGTATCCACCGCAGCCGAAAACCCGCTGCTGATATCCATCGCAGCCGACACCCTGTTGCAGGTATCAACCGCACCCTATAGTTTATAGTTTATTTTAGGAGTAATGGTTCAAATTGTTGTAAAGGTTAGGTAGATTTTTGTAAAAGTGAGTATCCCCCGAGAAAGCCAAAACATAGATACATTCATTGTTTACTATATTGTTATATTTTGATATGTTGTCATGTAGTTTTAGCAATTATATAATGGAAGTAGAGTTTGATTTTATTAGTTTAGATAATAAATATATATACCAATATGCTATTTTATGGTGTTTGTTGTTTTGACCTGGTTTTTTGTTAGCGTACCAGTCTGTCGTCTTAAATATAATGTGAGTTTTAGAAGGGACCTTAATTACTATAGACAATAGCTTTTACTAAATGTCATTTAGAGAACACGTGTGCTTGTACATGTAAAATTGAACGTTTGGGGTTGTAGTCGTTTCTCTTTGGTTAACAGCTTTTTTCCAGTCATGTATACTAGCTAAAATATGTTTGTATAAAAGGTATTTTGGTATATCAAGGTTTTCAACTTGCTCGTGAAAAATTGTTTAAGCTGCTTTGTTTAGACTCTTTCTGTTTCATACTTGAAACACGTTCATTTGATTTTTAAAACTTTCATTTATATTATTGTAATGTCCATATCAGGACAGATTTAACTATTTCAAGCGTACTTTTGATAATATTTTGTTATTGCATCATTGAACTATACGTCGATACATGAATAAGGAACTTACCACTAACAGTGGTTCCAGTTTCTTGATTGATAGGGACTTTGGATGGCATTGATGAAGGGGTTGTTGTTGTAGATGGTGGTGGTTCGTTGTCAGGATAACTGTGGCAATGAGGAAATCCCGTGGGTGGTGATGGGTGATGAGGAAACGATTCATTCAGAAGCATGGCCATTCCATCATTGGCATGAAGTTCAATATGACAATGTAAGAACCAAACTCCAGGATTATCTGCTTTTATACGGGTTATAACATAACCTCCACTTGGAACAATAATTGTATCCTTCCTTACTGGTTTTAGTAATTCCATTCCTGGCACATTTCCGTTAGCCCATGCTGGATTACTCCATGTTGCATTGTTGCACCAACTGTTGGCACGATCAGTTCCTCCTCTGCAACCGATGTCAGAATTTCCTTCTAGTTTTAATCCTGTTCTGTTATCATGTTTAGCATATCCAATTTTAAGGACATAGAACGTATGCCCGTGCATATGAACTGGATGGGCCCAGCCGGTTCCCTGTCCCATATTTAGAAAAATCATTTGGACTGTATCACCATGGTTTATAGATAAAGAATGCGTACAAGTACAATGTCTTTGTTCGCCGCAATCTGCTTCCTCACAAGGAAAGTTGGCATCATCAGGATCAGCCAAAACATTTTTTGTTGGGAATACGAACCTTCGTCCATTAATAGTACTTGGAAATGACGTAATTCCGGGAAAAGCAAAGTTTAAAAAATATTCTTTGAATTTTCCTTGATGAACAGGTGGAGCAGGGTCAGTATCAGATTTTACTTTCAAATTATCAATAGGTAAACAATCGGTAAAATATTCGTCTGGGTAATATGGAAAGAAACAATTCACCACAACACATCGATCGTCAGCTGTACACTGCCGAGGAACAGACGTTGGTTGTACATTTTGATCGGCGCCAAAATACTGAAGTATAGCTTCCGCTGTCGTGTTTCGGTTTATTTCGAGAGTTTTGGCTCTAATGTAATAGTTATCCACGGTTTGGTTTGCAGTAATGACGAAATCGTATCGCTCTCCGGCATTTATAATAAAGGCATCTGCTATCTGAGGTTCAATATCAAACCCGTCGGTGGCTATCATTGTTAACGGGTGGTTATCTATAGAGATAGACCAGGGAAATAACTGTCCTGCTGCTATCACCCGGAACCGGTACTGCTGGCCTTGTTCTACAGTAAACACCTCAAGTGGGGCCTCATTATGACTATTTTCATCAGAATAATATCTTCCGCGTCCATTTATAAGACCACTTTGTGCTTTTATATTACTAAAAAATTGCCCGTCAAGTGACTGAGAGCTTTGAAATTTTTTTCTGTTTTCAAAAAATCCAAATACCATTTTTGCATCTTCCAAATCTGCATCCAAGTCATGATTCCATTCCTGAATAGTCAGTATGTGTTCCTTCATTTCCAAACTCTTTTTCTCACGAACAATCAATGCACCAATCAATCCCTTTGCTCTTTGAGCTCCAACGTGAGAATGATACCAGTAAGTTCCTTTATGTGATGCAACAAATTTGTAGACAAACGTTTGGCCAGGGGATATTGGGCACTGTGTTAAAAAGGGCACTCCATCCATGTACGGAGTTCCATTTTGAGTGATTCCATGCCAATGAATTGTAACCTCTTCCGATTTAAGGTGATTTGTTACGTGAACAGTGATTGTCTGTCCTTCGTAAACAATAATAGGCGGACCAGGTAATGTACCATTCGCCACAACAACTAAACGAGAATCCTCCCATCCATCTGCTGTTATAACATCATTTATGGGTATAGGGTTTGATTCATTTATATTAGTCACGTCATATTTATACAGCCTCCCTTCTGCTGAGTATACAGCGTCTTTTTTATGCATCATTGTCAGACGATGAGACACCAATAAAGATGTTTCACAAGTTTCTGCTGCCTTTTCACATTCATAACTGATAGCACCATGAATTAAAAAGACTGCACAAATGGAGAGAGATCTCAACATTCGGAATATCTGGAAAATATAAAGATATTAAGATTAACAAATATCACAGCCATACAATATGAGCTAGTTGTAAAAACAGTGCACTTAGTTAAGGCAACTGCACACTAAATTACTAAGCAGCTGAGATCAACCCAAATTGTTTCATGTTAGCTAATTTTTCTATTAATTGGGGTTGAACTTTCCTTTTTTCAAATCTTTATGTATTTAGTAATTTTGTTTTTGTTTTAGCATGACTTTATATTTCCTCGTACAATCTATTGATATTCTGATTGTCATTTGTAATACACCTTTCAACTTGAAGGTGGGGTTTGCACGTTAGAAATAGATCAATAGTCGTCCCCTAGGAATTAGAATATCGAAAAATATCCTAAGATTGACTAAACATTACACTAATCAACAAATGAGCTAAGCGTATGAGTAAAACATCAGTGATGTTTGGATCCATGCTGCAAAAAAAATATAATTGTCTTACTTCTTTTTGATGTAACTTGGTTAACAACGGCCTTGCAAACACTAGTTGATGTATTACATCAAGGGAAGAAAAAACAAAATGTAGTTCAGTATTTCATTTTAACCAATGTAATAGTTAAACTACATATTTACTACATATTTGCATAAAATGTTTAACCCCGCCACATTCTATATGTGCCTGTCTCAAGTCAGGAGCCTGTATTTCAGTGGTTGTCGTTTGTTCCTGTATATTATATTTGTTTTTCGTTTTTGTTTTGTACATAAATCAGGCCGTTGTTTTTCTCGTTTGGATTGCTTTTCGTTTTGTCATGTCGGGGTTTTAATAGCTAGCTATGCGGTATTGGTTTTGCTCATTGTTGAAGGCCGTACGGTGACCTATAGTTGCTAACATCTATGTCAATTTGGTATCTTGTGTATAGTTGTCTCATTAGCAATAAAACCACATGATTCGCCTATCTTGTTTTACTTTTTTTCTTTCTTGCTGGTATCTTATCATCTTTTTTCCAAGCAATTATCACGAAACTAAAAATTCAAACTGAAAAATTATATGAAAAGTTCACAATGGACAAATTGAATCAATTATAACTTCAATGTTTCCAATATGTTACCCGCAATTACATTTCAAGGCTTATGGAGGGAAGGCGTCATTGTGAAAAAAAACCGCCGTTAACTATATGAGTTACGACAAAATTTTGTATATACGAATACATTATTTATATAAAGAGAATAACACCATTAAGAACTTGTCTATTTTTCGTAGAGGCCTTAACAAATACATGCATACAGTACACAGTCAATAGCTACAATAGTAAAACATCTCATGTTCTAACCAAAAAATGTTAATACCATTAGATTTTATAATTTATCATTATACAAAAATTATTATATTGACTGCGCTGTGTATTACTTTATAGAGTTTTCTGATTTAAAGATATTTGCCCATTCATTTGGTATTGATTTCTTTACAAAATTTATTTCAGCTATCCAGTTGAATTTATTTTTAACTTTATCTAAAATTACATCTTTGGTTTAATTTTTTACTTGCAAGTACATGCATACTGAAGACATTTTACAGTTCTTTCTGAAGTGGAAATGATTTGTACCTACATAAGTTAATAATAAAATTTTAAAAGTGTTTAAAGTTAATATGCTCTGCTCTGGAGAGTTTTCAAAGTTAGAGCCAGAAAAATGTCATTACAATAACAGTAGCGTATCGAATTCATATAAAGTAATCATAGAAACCAGGATTAAAATTTTGTACGTCAGACGCGTTTTTCGTCTACAAAAGACTCATCAGTGACGCATTTATGAGATGTACTTCTGTAAATTACTTCTTAATTGATCAATTCGCTTCGCATGCTATGGATCTAAGTAAAACTTAAAACTTTACTTCATAACAACAGGTTAAATCATAGGTACTTGGAGACATGATCATATTTTAAGCTTCTTTTTTTCAAAATTCATTTTTTTTTTTCTTTTAGTTACAATTGTTTTCGCTTTTTTCTGTGTTATATTTACATAAATATACTTGAAATAACATGTATCAACTATTTACTATCAATTCCTAGTTAATATCCACAGCAGTAACTGATAATATATATATATATATATATATATATATATATATATATATATATAATTCAATTTAGACTTGTTTATATATATATATATATATATATATATAAATATTTAATGACACATGGACCTTTTTGGCAAAACAAGCTTAATAAAAAAGCGCTTTTCTATATTATGTTTTCCAATGCCAACAGGTCTGAAGACTCTGAACATCAATATCAGAGAAGTTAATAACAAGTTTAAGTACTTTTTATAATCTTTCATTATAAGTAGTCCTTATATATTTGTAAAAGGCCTTGATTATGACAAATATCATGACTCTGTGAAAGAACAAAAAGTCGATGTCAATGAAATTCTATAATTCGAAACACTAAATAAGATAGTTTTTTAATCATTAGTTATTGTTAGTTCTTTTTGGTCGTAAAAGAACATAAACTGTAAAGTATCCTTTCTAGGGCAACTGTATAAAATTGAGGTTATATTTCCTAAGTAGTGGTACGGGTGTATTTAATTGGGGTAATATTTCCTATGTAGTGGTACCCGTGTGTGGACTTTCGTCTATTTAACTGAGGTAATATTTTCTATGTAGTGGTACCGGTGTGTTGATTTTCTTTTGTTTAATTGAGGTAAAATTTCCTATGTAGTGGTACCGGTGCGTGGACTTTCGTCTGTTTAATTGAGGTAATGTTTCCTATGTAGTGGTACCGGTGTGTGGACTTTCGCCTGTTTAATTGAGGTAATATTTCCTATGTAGTGGTACTGGTGTGCGGACATTCGTCTGTTTAATTGAGACCATATAGGTATTTTTCGAATACATTCAAACTTCCTTAACAGACACAACCAAAATCGGCACAAGTTATTAACAGAAATTCTATATTGTCTGAATCTTGGAATACTTGTTGTCTTGATTTCGCTATCTAGAGTCAACTTTGAGCACCTTTATCCTGTCGACAGTTTCGTCCGTACGTGAAACCACAGGTGATTTGGGCGGTGTCATCCTGGTTTGCCCACTTTTAATTGCAGGTTTATCAAAACATAGGGTGTTTTGTTGTTTTAACAATTATAGTTTATTTCTGAATTATAGTCATATTTTTACCTTTATTTTACCTGTAAAATTTTATAAAAGATTCTGCTATTAAATCAAGGAAAAAGTGCAAAAATATTTTATGGTTTGTATTTTTTTTAGCAGGAAAATGTATTGAATTTGTCAAATATAAAAAAAGAATATAGACAAAAATGTATACAGAAATGTTTATTATTTTGACAATTTATCAACAAGTTATTTCAATTGTTGCTACATTCTGAAAAACAAACATGTAAAAAGTAAAATAATGAAGCTTAAGATTAAAATAAGTGTCATTTAAATTATTTCTTATTTATTCACCTTATTTATTTTTTTTAAAATTTTAATGAATACACGTACTGTTCTGAAAATTTAATATAAAAAAATATCCAATTAATTCTAACAAATAAAACATTAATGCAACTGTTCAGTAGGCAAGCTTTCCAAATGACACAGTAATCTACATCCAAGCTAACATTTTCTTCTTTAAAAAAACAACAATAAAATATTTTTCAATTAATAATCATGATTGATAAGTTTTTAAGCAATTTTTACAATTCATCCAAGCTGTTAATAATTTCTGACTCTTTTGTGAACTGTTCTCACAAATTATTGTTTTATAAATATGAAATTGTCTTACATTCGAGGACGTACGAGCCGCGGTATAATTGTATTAATGTATATACCATGTACGGGAATATGTCAGACCCCTTCTAGGATTTGCATATTCGTAAAAGTCAGATATGTCTATCCAAGAGTATTTGATACTTACAGTTTTCATGTATAAACAACAAACACACCTACTTACCAAATCATTTAATATTTATAAACAAAGCAGGCTAAGTTACAAATAACAGAATAATAAGCTCACATAAAGTTTTCTTCTCACTATGAATTAACCACAAGATAATTAAGATAATTAAAATACACACCATAGTTCAGATTAAAATATCAAGATTAAATTTAAGGAAAAAAAAAAACAATAAAAAAAAAACCTCACAATTTACTATAATATGAATATATAATACAGGTTAATTCCTAAATAATAATAAATTTTAAAACATTTATTTGAAATGTTTTTCTATAAGGTAATCTGGCGCAATACCCGCAAGGGTAGTCGCCATTAAACTCTATTTAGTAGTAGTTCGAGGCATTTAAAACCAAGTATGCCGCTTTCTATGGAACCACTACTACACAGAAGGACCCCGCACTACCAATCACCTGGAAGGATGGCACAACCAAATTAAGAAGAGACTCCAACATGCCCACCCCAACATCTACGAGATCATTGTGTAACTGAAATAGACCCAGGCACTAACAGAATGTACCATTATCCAGTATGCAGCAGGAGGAGCCCGCCCACCAAAAAGAAGACGATACAGAGTAATAGACACCAGACTCCAACTACTAAAAAACAGATACCAACAAGGACTCATCAACGTGATAGACTACTCTGACGCAGTATCCCATCTTCTCCATTTGAACTTAATGACTTTGTGAAATATTGTTATTTGTGACTTTGTGAATATAATGTTTTGCGACTTTTGAAATATATATAAACAATTGTATTTTCCATCATTATACATATAGTGTCCCATATTAGTTATTTTACCATAGTGCTTTATTTATTTCCTTATGCAATGCATGTATAAATTTGATTCATATATTATATAAATTATGTTTGCAATAAAAGAAGACTTGTATTGGTGTATTTATATCATGAAAATCATTCAGAAACTTTATTATTAAGACACTTTTATAAATGAATGTCATTGTTTTGTCATTAGATGTACATGTATGTTAAATGAATCGATTGAATTGATATTAAATTATTGAGAGAAAAAAATATTTGATTTATTTATTATTTATCTATACAAATGAAAATGGAAATACACAATGAAAAATACCTGAGTATATAGAAAACACTGATAAACTATATATACCTAAGTAGGAACAGACTATACAATTATATGCTCATTAAACCTTTTGTCTTTTTTGTTTTCTTTACTAATAGCTAATTGGTATAATTAAAAGCGGGCAAACCAGGAGTAAACCAATTGGGCATGGACATTTTTTCCCCGTGGCGTTTAGATTAGATTTTCTTAAATTTCTTCTAATTTCCAATTATTTTTCACAATGTTTTATAAATATGACAAAACCGAATGTATTAGAAGTTTAAAATTTCTTTAGCATCAGCACATTCTGTGTAAAGGATTTGTTGACATAAAATGTGAATGTTTGCTGTATTTTATCTACAGAGTAGAAAAAGAAATCCAGTGGTTATCTTCCAGACAGTTTGAAAATAGCAAAAAAATGTCTATTTCTCCGACTGTCCGGAAAATAGCTTTTCTGTGATATTATAATTATTCCGGCCATGCATAAATTAGAGGTAAGAAATGTTGTTTTTTTTTAAAGAAAAGAAATATTGGTTAAGTGCTAATTTAGGAAATAGAGCAATTAAGTTAACTAGCACGTTGATAATCCGTATTAGGGTGTCAGTAAAAGTAAGGTTCTTATCTATATCACATTGCCATGTTCTCTTTCTGAATAGAAATGCAATAGCTTCCACTGACATTAAACAGACACCCATCATCATCATCGTCATCATCACCAACATCGTGAATGATTCTAGAAATGTAAATGCTGCATGTCAATGACTGTCTTCTAAAAACCGGTAGCTTATAATCATCCTACATGCACCGAATCTCAAAACTGCAGACAAATCGAAATAATGTTTAAAAGAGCAATTTAAAATCGTGGTTGCTCGCGTGATTCATTCATTTATCTCAACTTTGCGACCCTGCGAGTGGAATAAACTCCGGGTTCACTTGCCATACTCCTTTTGAAGAAGAGACATCATCTTTGATGTCTCACTGATCCTTTCTACATTTGAATACATGCTACATTTTATATAATTCTCGTCAATTGAGAATTTTGACAAATAGTTTATCCCATTTGCAAGTGAACCTACTACTTTATTTACATAGAACGGGAAAACAGGATTATATTTTGGTGCGAAAATAATACGGAAATATTTTTTAAAAAGTCATCAGAAAAAAACTGAATTCTGCTCTATATAAGGTAAAACAAAAATCAGTTTAAAAAAATGCCTACCTTGTTAATGACGACCGACTTTAAAATAAAATCTTCAAAAAAATATTTGATACTCAACAAACAACTTTTTTTCAAATATATGTGTTTTATGTTTGATATCTCAACTGAGACGATTTAGTAATGAAATACCCCATCAAGGTTATACGCTTTACATAACAAACATTCCTGTGTTATGATTTAAACACGAACTGTTGCCTGAATCAAATTTCTTTAAAAAAGATTAGTAATAACACGTTTATGAATCCAATTTAAATGTATAATTATCAGTTGTCGAAGTCTGGCCCACATTCACAATAATTATGTATCTGTAATGTTCCGGATGTCAATGTCTAATCATCGGAGATTAACTTATTACGAAAACATTTTGTAATGGAATTACGAATACGAAAGAATAAAAAAACAATAAATATTTTTATTCTTTTTATTAATAATCTTTTCTTTTAAACAATAGTCTTTTTAGGGGCTTTGGTAAACATATCATTCACCTTTCCCTCCTCACTCTGAGTAATGGTGATATTTTCCAACTTATAATTGAATAACCTAGACATGGTTGATCAAGCTGAACTTTCTTTTGTTGCTAGTGTAGATAATGATATAACCATCAGCTGAGTGTAAAATATTATTATTGAATTCCTTCAAGTGGAATAATCATGATCATAGTATTACTTTCCAAAAAAAAATCCTATATGAAAAAAACTCTCATAATATCAACGCTTATTTATTCGAGTTCCGTAGTTTGTGTAAAATATCATTTTGACAATTACCAGAGCATAATCGTTGTGTCATAAAATACCCAGTCTGGGTTATACCAGTGATCAATGTTGGTATCATCAATGAAAAATATCATATGGTCACTTTTATGATTTGTTTCACCATTACATAGCGAGTTTTCCACCAAAATAGCTGAATACATATTTTATAATGTGACCTTCCCCTCCCCCTCCCCCCAAAAAAAAATATCTGGATACATATTTTATAATGTTTCCCCAAAATAGCTGGATACATATTTTATATTATCCTCGGATATAATATGACGTTATGATTGGTTTAACGCCGTCACGTGGTGACCCCCTATGGATCCATTTGGGGTTAGTAAATTTTATATGGGGTTCATGACGCCACATTTACTATAAACGGTGACGTCATCCATTAATGTTTTTGTATTTCATTGCTTATTTTTATTCATAACTTAGCAGGAAAAGTCCCGTGTGCGATAAATTCGTTCTACGGTTAACCCCTTATGGATTTTACTAACCCTCTATGGATCGGTAGGGGATCAGTAGCAAACCATATAACTTATAATGTGACCCCCAAAAATAGCTGGATACGAATTTTATAATGTGTCCCCATACAAAATAAGATTTCACTCATAAATAGCTGGATACCTATTTAATAATATGCCACTTTCCAAAACAAGATTTCACTCATAAATAGCTGGCTACATATTTTATACGTCCCCTTCCAAAATAAGATTTCACTTATAAATAGCTGGATACATATCTTATAAAATGTCTCCTTCAAAAACAAGATTTCACTCATAAATAGCTGGATACAGATTAATTATGTGTCCCCATCCAAAACAAAATTTCACTCATAAATAGCTGGATACAGATTTTATAATGTATCCACTTCCAAACCAAGATTTCACTCATAAATAGCCAGATACATATTCTATAATGTGTCACCTTCCAAAACAAGATTTCACTCATAAACTGTTGATTAATTTGACCAGACTACGATGTAATACGACATGTGTCACATTAAGAAAAGAAGTGTGTTAGCGGTGTTTATATTTCCTAAGCTTTTATTAGGTGTTAGTGTATATGTTCCGGACCATATGAGTATTTGGACTGTACGCGTATGGTCATGACCATATTGGTATACGCGTATGGTCGGACCATACGAGTATATACTTGTTTGGTAATTAACGGGTCGGACCATATGAGTATTTAGACCATATAGGTATTTTTCGAATACATTCAAACTTCCTTAACAGACACAACCAAAATCGGTACAAGTTATTAACAGAAATTCTATATTGTCTGAATCTTGGTATATTTGTTGTCTTGCATTCGCTATCTAGAGTCAACTTTGAGCACCTTTATCCTGTCGACATTTTCGTCCGTACGTGATACCACAGGTGATTTGGGCATGGACATTTTTTTCCCCGTGGCGTTTAGATTAGATTTTCTTAAATTTCTTCTAATTTCCACTTATTTTTCACTTAACTGGTGTGTTCATACTCTTATTCATACGGTCTTACAATAACAGTTGTTTCTACATAAGAATAGAAGGGCAGCATGTATAACCTACTGTAATTATAAATCGTATAAAGAGGAGTATGAGAAATCTAAATAAGTAAAAATAATTTGAAATGTTAAAAAAATATTAATTTACAAGTAAGAAAATAGGGGGATTCAATGCTCAAATTGCCTATGTGTAAAACAGTTGACTTCTTGCTTAACAGTTCATTTAGTTATTTTCATTAATAATGACCATGCAAAAATGCTTCTACTATAACTTTAACTTGTGAGTAAAATTCATTTTATTTCATTAATCACGTTACAATGATTACAGTCAAATTATCATTTTTCGAAACTCTTAATCTATGACACCGTGAAGGTTTATTTATGCCTTACGTAGTTACTGTTCAACGTTCGTCGTATTAATTACCAGGACTATACGCGTATGAGTATATACGCATATGGTCAGTAATAGTAATCCCATGAGGACGCGGTATTACACTGACACACCAAGTCCGAGTGGGATAACTATTTTACATCCCAGCTCTTCTAGACTATATTAAAAAAACATTTACGCTTCATAACATCTAGTTCCGAATGCCATACAATAATTATAATATACTTTATATATTACAAGTGTGGACACAGATCAGTGTGGATAGTATGATTGGATGTTTGACAGTGTTTTATGTGACTAAAGGAGTTCTATGTTTTATGTTTTCTATATATTAACTGTGTTGCACAATGACAACCAACATGAGCATTAGGGGTGTTGTTTATGTAATATTTAGTTTTTTTATGTTCAACACGGGCATGGAAGAGATACTAATTTCATTAATTACTAAATGATTATGATAGAATATATATGTTCCACATTTTGATTTTGGATACATTTTGTAGCTAGGAGAGGAACACATAATAGGTTCATTTTTTTCTTAATGTGATTTTTTTGTATGGGAGATGGTATCTGAGAACATGTATTTGCTTACTATTTGTATGGTTCTATTTATCTTAATTTGTGGGGGATTGTCAGTATCATAAGTAAAAGATTTCGGTTAAATGTGGAAATTGTTTCTCAGTTTAGAAGACATTTAATGTTTTTTTGTAATGACAATGCCTGACATGATGATTGGGGCTAGATGAGCTAGAAAGTGAATTTCTGTGTTATTTTTTATTAATTCTTTGAAAATATCTCCTCCAAAGTTTTGACCAGTATGAAAATGATATCAACAAAAGAACCTTTGTGAGCATGCTTCAAAGACTCATAACTAACTACAGAAGTCATATGATACAATGTCAAGTGGATATTATGAACATCTACTTAATATGTCTAAATATCTAAAAAGTTTTAGTACTCAATATGAAAAAGCTATTGCAAAAGTATTCTCTTTTCAGTTTTTTTTGTTATATGGGTACAAATATAAGTGATACAAATACAGTAAGGCAATTTTGTTATGGTAGGAAAGTGTAGTAATTAACATTTACTGTTAATTCACACAAATTAAGAAATAAACAAATGAATGATAAATGTTGAACATGTACAATGAAATATATTTTAGAAATCAATTAGGCCAGATAGGCCTTATAAATTTTGGTCTTATTCTTAACATAATGAATGACCATTTACACTCAGGACTGAGTCGCCAGTAGGCAGTACAGATGTAAAAAAATAAAGAGTAACAAATGAACCTAGCATCATATTGCTAGTAGCGCCAGTAGCATTGTTTGGTGAATTTGTGCTTCTTTTTTTTAGTTTGGCTAATGGACAAAAAATGTTTGGTTCAAATCTAAATAAAATGCTTTTATCTCCCTATTACTTACATTGTTCATAGAATGGATACTACTTTGACAATTCCTTGTACATGAGAGTTGTCTGTCAAATCTTTATTTCACAAAGAATGAATTGCATAACAATGAACAGAGCTCAAAGCAAAGCACTTTAATAATACACTTAGACAATGAGCTCAATCCAGTGATATACTTTGTACTACAGGTCCTTCATGAACATCCTACTGGCAAAAACCATATCTCACAAACATGCCATACTACATGGTTGGATCAGAAGTCCTGAAAAAGACATGAACTTTATTAACATATTTTAAGTATATACACCGGTTAAAACTTTTACAAATTTGTGGTAAAATTATTCAGTATCTAGCAACTATCAATCGCTTCACGCACAAATTGATATAGGTTGAGTAACCCTCTGTCAGAAATAAGAACATACCTCCACCTAATTTTAGTTAACTGATGAAGAAACATTCAAAACTATAAAATGTTATCTAATAGACTAGCTGCAATGAAATCCCAGTTTTCTAAAATGGTAGGTGGAACCTAAAACTCAAAAGATTTTAAACTATGCATTTTAAATATTGCAAATATACATGCAATAATAATTCTTCTCAAAAATTCGCTATATTTTTCCTTATTTTGTCTTTTGTTCGAGACTGTATATTGACCTCTAGATGTCTTTCAATTACATCCAGTTTGGCGTGGATTGATGTTTGATTGTTGTACATGTTATATATCGACGTGGGATTTGTTTATATAAATTAGGCGTGAAATAATTTTGGTTAACTGAAATCCTTTAACTTACTTCCAAATTAATGTTAATACTGAGGGAAAAAATTACATTGCTAAATAACCACTTTAAAACACATGCAAACTTTTTGAGAGGAAGGCATAATGCATGTAACATCTATTAGATCTTTTTTTAAACCATTCTAAGCTACTGATAAGTGAAAAAGTTTGTTAACAGTTACTTACCTTCAAACAGGGGGTTGCATTCACTTTACTACATATACATATAAATATAATCAACAATACTG